CCAGATGAATGTACATGTGGGGGATGTACTTGTGGAGGGTGTCAGTGTAGAATGCTTAAGCAGGAAGGTGACAATGAGTCCAGGAACAAGTTGATGCAGTTCCTGACGGGGTTAAATGACAGTTATACAGCTATAAGAAATCAGATATTAGTGACAGAGCCATTACCTGATACAAAAAGAGCGTATTCGATGATCATGAATATAGAGCAACAACAAATGGCGCAAATGACCTATGGTGGAGGAGTTTTAGAACATAATGCAATGAACATTCAGACTGCGCAAAGGCCAGCGGGAACAGAACATAATGCCATGTATATTCAGAGACAGGGTTCTAACAAAACCAACAGAGAGAATGACTGGAGAAAGGAGAAAGCAGCAAGAAAGCTTATGTTCTGCGACAATTGCAAGGTTAATGGACATGATAGGAAGGGGTGCTTCAAGCTGATAGGCTATCCTGACTAGTGGGAAGATAACCACAAAGATATGAAGAAGGCAGGGAACAGTAAGTCTGTAACAAATCAGGGACAAAGCAACAGGTTCTCCGCTAATCTTGCAGATTCTGTTGGGGACTAGGGAAAAGAATCAACTGTCAACACAGGGTAGTTACAAATGATGATGAATAATCTGAGGATGATGCAGTAGGAGATGAGCAGGCTTCTGAAAGGCAAAGGAATTATGGAGGAACCGGAGAAAATCAATTTTGCTCACTACCATGATTTTGCAGGTATGAGCACTTACCAAGCTCTTAGTTCTTTGACTGATATTGAAAAATCAGTTGTATTGGTTTGGTTTTTAGACACTGGAGCAACTGGACATATGGTTTCTACTTTAAAATTGTTACGTGTTTACTCTTCTGTTACAACTTTTACACCTGTTTGCTTACCTGATGGCATCGTAAAATCTGTTGAACACATAGGGACTGCACACCTCTCTGAGACCCTAGAAATAGCCGAATGTCTGCATGTACCCTCTTTCAAATACAACCTCCTTTCAGTACACAAATTAGCGGTTGATTCATTCATTGACTGCTATTTCTCGACCACCTTTTGTCTCCTACAGGACCGGGTAACTAATCAACTCATGGCAGTTGGGAGATTCATCGATAGGCTTTATGTTTTAGACTCAACCTCCTTTTCAAAAGAAACCATTTCACAGTTTATGGTAACTCACGTTAATCATCCCTTTATAGCAAAACCTCAGTTTCCGTCTGTATACCTTTCCAATTAGGTTGTAAACACAGATATATCTGTTTGGCACCAAAGATTAGGACACATACTAAATATAGTTTTGAACAAGCTTGGCTTAAGCAAAGGTTGTAATAGTCAGCTTGGATATTGTCATGTATGTCCTATTTCCAAACAGCAAAGATTAAGTGTTCCTTCCAGTCCTATTCAATCCAATTCTATATTTGATTTGATTCATGTGGATGTTTGGGGTCCATGCCATCAAAGGGGACTTAGTGGGGCACAATATTTCTTAACCATAGTTGACGATTTTAGTCGTTGTACATGGACTTATCTTATGCAAGCCAAAACCTAAACACATTCCATCCTTGATGCATTTTTCAAAATGGTCAAGACTCAGTTTAATGTGTTAGTGAAAACTGTTAGAACCGACAATGGGTCTGAATTTCTTAGTTACCATTGTCAAACCTTGTTTCTAGATTTAGGAATCTTGCACCATAAAACCTGTCCTTATACACCTCAACAAAATGGGGTTGCCGAAAGAAAGCATAAACATTTGTTGCAAATTGCAAGAGCCTTTCTTTTTCAGCCACATTTGCCCAAACATTTCTGGGGAGATGCCATTCTCACGTCAACAAATATCATAAACCGTTTACCTACCTCAGTCCTTCAATGGAAAAGTTCATATGAAGTTCTATACTCGAAACAGCCTGATCTTAGTTATCTCAGGGTCTTTGGCAGTCTTTGCTATGCCACGAATACCATGCCTCATAAGGATAAACTAGCACCTAGAGCTATCAAGTCAGTTTTTGTGGGTTATCCTCCGGGACAAAAGGCATACAAATTGTATGACCTAGAAAATCACAAATATTTCGTTTCTAGAGATGTAATCTTTCATGAGTCAGTCTTTCCCTATAAACCTGAAGCATTAAAACCAGAATCTTTCAAGTTGAATTCTCAGAGTTAAAGAGCCCTTTCAGATCCTTACATTGATTTTCCTGAAACTTTTCCTCCATGTCAAACGTCTACTGTTTCTAAAAACAATCCCTCACCTGTCACCAGCCACATGACAGAACCAATTATGTCATCCAACTCTGATTCGGATCCTGATAACAGTCTTAACCATTCAGTTAACATCAACCCAGTCACTCATCAATCACAACCTTCTTTATGCGTTCAAGCTCCACAGAGAAGTACTAGGATTAGAAGACCATCAGTCTTGCTTAATGATTTTGATGCAAGATTTATACCAAATAATCATCAATCGTCTCAACTTGTGTGTCACACAACCCCTTCAAATCATACACCACCCACTTTTCCTTTTTACACGGCACCTAGTTTTTCGGTAAAACATATGTCCTTCCTTGCTCAACTAGACAGTGTACAGGAACCTAAACAGTACTCAGAGTCTAGAACCAATCCCCACTGGGTAAAAGCGATGCAAGACTAGCAGCCCATGAAGCCAATCATACATGGGTAATTACAGACTTACCTCCTGGAAAGAAGGCTATAGGGTCGAAATGGGTTTATAAATTGAAGTATCATTCTGACGGAACCTTAGATAGATATAAGGCTCGGTTAGTGGCGAAGGGGTATAATCAAGTAGAAGGGGAAGACTACTTTGATAGTTTTTCGCCTGTGGCAAAGGTTGTAACAATCCGAATTTTGTTGGCTTTAGCTTCGGCAAATCAGTAGCCTTTGTTCCAGCTGGATATCAATAATGCCTTTTTACATGGGTTTCTCGATGAAGAAGTGTATATGCAGGTTCCTGATGGGTATGAAAAGGGCAAGGGGCGACAAGTGTGTAAGTTGCTGAGATCGCTGTATGGTTTAAAACAAGCGTCTCGGCAATGGAATGAAGAGTTTACGCGTCAGCTTACTGATTATAGTTTTGTTCAATCTGATCATGATCCGTGCTTATTCCTGTTGAAACGTGGTTCTGTATTTTTGGCTCTTATAGTCTATGTTGATGACATACTTGTTACAGGTTCCCATGATGAAGAAACCCTAGCTGTTAAACAGTTTTTACATGAAAAGTTCACTATCAAGGATCTAGGTTTTGCAAAATATTTTTTGGGTGTGGAAATTGCTAGGTCCTCTGATGGTTTGTATCTTAGCTAGCGCAAGTATATCCTGGACATCCTCAAGAATGTTGGGATGATAGGGTGCAAAGCAGCCTCAACGCCACTACCAAAGGGGCATCAATTTACTGATAGCGCAGGCCCTTGTTTGACTGATCCATCAAAATATCGCAAGCTGGTAGGGCAGTTGCTTTATCTTGGTTTTTGTCGACCAGATATAACCTTTTCAGTGCAGCAGCTTAGCCGGCATGTCCAGAAACCCTGTCAGGCACACTGGGAGGCCTTATTGCATGTTCTGAGGTATCTTAAAGGTACGCCCTCCCATGGTTTGTTCTTCTCTGCTCAAAATACTTTTCGAGTTGAAGCATACAGTGATGCTGACTGGGGATCAGACCCTGTTGAAAGGAAAGCTGTCTCCGGATATTGCATATTTCTGGGATCTTCCCTTGTTTCATGGAAAACGAAACAGCAAACAACAATTTTCTTGTTCCACCGCAGAGGCGGAGTATTGGAGTATGAGTTACACTGTCAGGGAACTTCCGTGGATCACATATCTCCTGTCTGATTTTGGAATCTCCTTGCAGCTGCCAATTTCTCTCTGGGTGGATAATCAATCCGCCATTTATATCACAGAGAATCCGGTCTTTCACGAGCGCACCAAATACCTCGAAATAGAATGCCATTTTGTCCGCCATCAATACAAGTTAGGTTTTTTGGTTCCTCAGTGTACTCCTTCTAAGGACCAATTAGTTGCCTTGTTTACTAAGTCTTTACCACATCCTTTATTTGTTTCTTTGTTGTCCAAGCTTGGTGTTACAGACTTCTTTATAACACCAGCTTGTGAGGGGGATGTAAATATTACTGGTTGTACAGATTAGTGCACAGTTTAGTTAGTGTTAGTCTTTTTAGTACACAGGGACTGATTTAGTATTTGTTGTAAATATAGGGGATCTATACTGTAAATAGCTGGTAGTTAGGCAGTTGTGTATTAGTCAAGGTGGTATATATAGGGATTGACTTGTACAGAATCATTTATTATTGAACATACTGGAATACACAGGAAGTTTTTTCCGAAATTTTTGCTTCTTTCTTCTTCGAAGTTCCAGGATCGATTCATTGGTTTGAAATCTAAATTAGGTCCATCAATTGAAGAATTATTTATCTTGTCTCCTTATGACTGGTTTTGGAAGACTTAATGGAACAGTTGACCAGTAATTAAAATTAAGAATAATATATTCATCTTACTTAGTTTATCTCACGTTCTATCCCACCTTACGTGACATTTATTGATTGGGCAATGCATTTTTTACTTTGCATCTCACCTTTTTCTTTTTCAAAACACTACATTACATGCATCTCACCTGAAATTATAGTTCTAACACCATTCAGTCAAGTATCTCTTGCACGTAATGTTTTGGTTTCATGATTTAATTTTAATACCTCTCTTTCTATTTTTGTACGAAAATGTGGCTTTTTTTATATTTTTAATTTTTTTACAAAGAAAAATGTGGCTATGACAATGAGTGACACTAGCATAATATCTAGGGCCGTCCTTGTGCTAACCTTTTTTTCCCCACCATCAAGCGGTCAAGATGTCTCCACGTCTTTATGCCTGCCACGAATGCAAAAGCAACCACGTCACACCAAACTATCCTCCATTCCGGGTCCCACTTCAGATCTTTTTGCCCCTTAGATATTTCCAACTCCGCCCAATTCGCATTCATCGCACCCTTCTATTTACTTCAACTCATCATTGGAACGAAAATCACATTACCCCACCTCCCTCCCCCCCCAAAAAATATCTCCCAAATTTCTAAAATTAGAACCTTCTAGACCCACCGCCACATTCGCCCCTTCACCGCCACCGGAACATGTCTACACCTGACGCCGCCGCCGCCGACGTTGCCGAGGCCGTCGAAGATGTTCTGGAGACGCCAATTTTGGATGCCGAACGGCCGAACCTGCTCGACCAGATATCCGAGCAAGGCGGTTACGCTTTCGTCAGGATGGCGACGTTAGCCGCCGGAGGAGATATGAGGGCGGCGGAGGTCGCTAAGGAAATGGCGTGGGAGCAGCTCCACTGTGGGCCGTGGCACTCGGTGGTTCCGATTTGGAGAGACGCCTATGCAATGGCGTGCCTCCACGTGGCCAAGCTGCAGTATGCCGCAGGGGAGTGGAGTCCAGTTCTCCGGGCGCTGGATATGGGGCTTATTATGGGTGGATTGACTTTGAGAGAGGATTTGAATAATGCTATTCGGAAGGCGTCGAAGAAAGCGCGTTCTGCAGCGACAACGGCAATGGAAGTGGACTGTGGTGACAGTAGTAAATTTGTTCGGAAAGAAGATTTTGACATGGCGCAGGTGAGGTTCGTTTTCTCTCTCTTTGGTAGATTGTTAATTAATTGTGTTTTTTTCTTTCTTTTGTTATTTTTGCATGGTGAAAAGAAACTCTGGTGTTGGAAATGTCAGAGCTTAAAGTTACAATCCTCCTGCATTTGATCATTGAAAGGTACTCTTTTTCTGATTATTGGGTCGTGGCTTTCTAAAGTATTGGTATCTTTTATGGGAACATTTATAGTGAGTATGCAATCATTTTGCTTAGCATTTAGTTTATAGTAACTCAAGGAGAAGCTGTTTTGTGCTTGTTGGTTCCTGTAGTAATTGTATTAGGTAGTTATGAACTAATTTTTGTCAGTTCTTGAGAGTTGGATGAGCGCAGAAAAGGAAGCTGCATAATCCTTCATTTATTTTCTTAAATAGTAACAATTTGCAAGGGGCCTGAGTGATTAAATGGGGCTGGTGAGTTATTGAATCCATTTACTCTGTCCTACTTAAAGAAAGCAATAATGCAACAGTGTTTTTATGTGGACAATTAGGCAATCTGCAGTTAATATTTTTCTTCTGTATATATGGTATGTGCTTTTCTAATTTTTGCTTTCTGCAGTTGCAACATAATTTACCAGTCAAGTCTTTGTCTTCTAAGAATGTTGGGAGAAGGTCTTCACTATCCTTGGAAGGATTCCTGCAAGATTATTTTTTGACTGGCTCTCCAGTGGTTATTAGTGATTGCATGGCTGACTGGCCTGCTACAAGTAAGTGGAATGACATTAACTACCTTAAGAGAACCGCTGGCTTCCGCACTGTTCCTGTTGAGGTAATGACCTTCTAATTAGAGGTTCACTTTACTCTTCTTTTGTCTTTCACAGCGTCAATCTTTTTTAATTTTGTTTCTCGGTAACATTATACTGTTATACTGTATTTTCTCAGTCATCAGATATTTCATGTGTGCAATGGTAACATATAAGAGTAGATCGATATGTCTGCTGTTGCAGTTTATAAGATTGAAGGCTTTTACAGAATAGCTTGTGGCAGTATCCTAAGAATCTTGCATGTAGCTAAAGTTAGCAGAAACTTAATTTTAAACCCAAAAGGCTTATTAATTTTACTTTTCTTTTTTGATGTAAGAGATTTTATGTTATAATTCACTCTGATGTTATGCACATGCAAGTCTTATAGCCAAGTATATTTGATGGAGCTTTTCTTTTCTTTTCTTTTTTTTTTTTTTTTGGGGGAATCTGACTATGAAATCCTTTTTTTGCTACATTTTCATATATCATATCTCTTTTTACACTGAAGGTACATGCTGGCATAAGTCATATGCACCAGAGACAATTTGGCTAAATTTTGAGTACAATCATGCTTAATTATACTGTTGGCAGTTTCTGGATCTTGTTTTGTTTGGTTAATGTGTAAATTATTATTTAGTTTTCCAAGTTCTCTTCCCTAGGTAGTGCTGAGGCAGTTATTATTCTGATTGGCATTTATTTGTTGATAGCCGGAAGTTATTTTCTGCCTAAATTGCGTTTTCCAGAAATTATCCATGTTTTCTTGTGGTTTTGGAGCCTCATCTCTTTTCCAGTGCCGGATGTGATGTTGAGGTGTTCATCTTCATTTCTTTAATGTTGAAGTCACTAAAACTTGCAGGTGGGAAAAAACTATCTATGCCAGGAGTGGAAGCAAGAGCTTATTACATTTTCAGAGTTTCTTGAGAGAATTCAGTCAAATGATTGTAGTTCTGCTAACACAACATACTTAGCTCAGCATCCCCTGTTCGACCAGGTAAGCTTTTTGGTTTCTAGATTGCTGCAGTTGGACATCATATCTTAGACAGATAGCTTTTTTTGAAACTTTATCTAGAAAATGTTGACTATAATTAATAGTGAGAAGCAACAAGCTTTGCACAATTGCATTTACATTTATTGTTTGAAAAAGCATTTGATTAAGTTCATGGGAAGATAACATGGCCAGTATTAGAAACAGGAGAGAATGATATTACTTATCTTGTTTTAGAAAGTATATCTATAAGGATGTAACAGATATAAGGATGTGAATAGAGATATAGGACATACCGTTAATACATTAGGTCTGTATTAGAATTCAGTTTTCAACCCCTACATTTATTTGATGAGATTGCATCTGACTAGAGGCATTCTTGAATGAGATGAGAGAAGGAGAAACAGCAAGTGTGGAGGTGGACACAAGAAGCTAAAAGTTTCTGTTGAAGTGCAGTTTAAATCTGCAGCACACAACACGTTAGTTGTCATTCCAATATTGCAAATGTTAAAATTGACAAAAGGGATCCAAAAATCTTAGATGTATTAGATCTTTCATTTTTGTATCGACAAAAATGTTTAAACATAGAATGTGGGCCTGTTGGAATTTACACGAAGTGTGAATATGAAGTACTGATGAAATTAGTATGTTATAAAACAGGCATAAATCATCATGGTTCATCGACTTGTCTGGTTATAAATTTAAAAATATAGAAACGTTGCAGGATGTTTAACCATGTTAGACAGATGTTCGGGCTCATTATATCAAATAGAGGTAGCACTACTTTAGAAAGAATGTGGAGGTGTAGTCAGTAGATCGGAAAACAAAAGCATACTTTTTGAGTACATGCTTGGAGTCCTTTGATACTGTTTACAACATGTAGAAAAAGATAAACTTAATAATGCATACTAACACTTCAAGAAAAACCTAAATGGCACATTTACATGTCATAGCACATTATTGAAATGTAATCTGTGTAGCTCACCTTGCATTGTGGGATAAAGGATTATAATAATGTGTGTTTTTGAATGGTAGATACAAGAGTTGCGCCAGGATATTGTTATTCCTGACTACTGCTTTACTGGTGGTGGAGAGATGAAATCCCTTAACGCTTGGTTTGGTCCAGGTGGTACAGTAACACCATTGCATCATGATCCACATCATAACATACTTGCTCAGGTTTGTCATTTATCCTTTTTATGACATTGTTTTTCTTCATTCACTATAAAGTATGCTTTTGTTCACAAGCATCTCTCTGTTTTATCGGTCTCTCTGCTTATTTCCAAGTAATATTCAACAAGGCCTGAAAAACTCTTGAATAGCCTCCAAGGGCTACAAAAATCTATTGTTGATTGATGAATACCACTTATTCTTGAATATTAGTACTATTTTTAAAATTTTTATTTTTGTTTCAACTGATTGCTGTGAATTTCTTTTCCTATTATACTCAGGTTGTTGGTAAAAAATATGTAAGGCTTTACTCTTCTTCTTTGTCAGAAGAGCTATATCCACATGCTGAAACCATGCTCTGCAATTCCAGCAAGGTAGCTAACCTTTTATTATGGTAGAGATAGAGTGTATAATGGTGTAGTAAAATGTCTTTGCATGATTGGTCTAATATAATTGCTTTGCGTTAAGATCATCCCTTTATTACTTTAAACTGATCCCGATTATGTGAAGGATTTAAGGTCGTTGCTGGTTTTCTTGACTGTTTCTTGTGGGAATTTCAAAGTACTGAAAATTAAGTTGATGATGCTCCATCCCCTGGGAATTAGTTAGTTGATTTTGACAACTGTGTTGGCCTATATGAAGGTCTATTTCAGTGCACAAGTGGTTCACGCTCTATTATATTCGATGCATTTCTTGTGGCTTAGATCATAGGCCTGTCTCACATTTTGGCTTAAAAAATAGTTGATGATGGCCAATGAAGTTTGTCCTTCAGTTTCTGTTGGTGTTCTATCATTTTTGATGCATTACTTGTTGCTTTAGAACATAGAACTGTCTCATGTTTTGCCTCTGTTTTGGCTTTTTAAAGGTTGATCTGGATCATATCGACGAGGTAGAGTTTCCAAAGGTGGTCAACTTGGAGTTTTTCGACTGCATATTAAACGAAGGTGAAATGCTTTACATTCCTCCCAAGTGGTGGCACTACGTGAAGTCTCTTACTACCAGTTTTTCAGTTAGCTTTTGGTGGGGTGACTCTGCAAGTTCTTCATCGCCATCTTAACACATAGAGGAGCTTCTCGATTTGTACGAGTTTTAGGTTTTTCTTGTACACCTTAATGAACACAGTTAGTACTACATGATGGTAATATATTATTAGCCAACTTTCCTTACGTAATGGAATCAATGATCGCTGCTGGTTCTTCAACTAAAATTTTCAGATCCGTCTTTAATAATGTTTCTTATGATTTCTTGATGTATTATTGAAGTAACTAATTTCTTCATCAATTATTCTTACAAGTCCCTTTTTCTTGTGTAATAAATCTGGGTTTCTTTCTTCTTGGAACCTAAATTTTGTACATATCCTTAAAACATTTCCCAAAACCTGTTATTTTTTCACAAATTCTCATTTTGGAATTTAAAAGGAGTAGGTGTGTACTCAACTTGTATATATACGCAAAAAATCAAATTACTTACAAGATCCTGCACAGAAAGATTCAATTTATGTACCTGATTCTTTTTACTCGCAATCAATCAAAAGAAAGCAAAAATTGAAAAGATCACAAATCCTAATTGCTCTGTTCCATGAGCTGTGTTTCTTCTTCCTGCATCTGCAATGCAGCAGAGAAGAATTCTTCCATGGCCTTCAAAGAATCACCCTTGACACCATCTTTCTCCACAACTGTCTGCTCAATCAAACCCTTGACCTCTTGAGCTTTCCTTCTCATCTCCTTCCCTTTCTCATTATCACCCATGACCAATTCTATTTTATACCTAATATCTTCATGCCCAACCTCAAAACTGATTCCTCTAGCCACCTCCACACAAACTCCAACCCACTCTGCTAAAAGCTTGGCATTGTAAAATTGGTCGCCGGCGATCGGCCAACCGATCAATGCCACCCCATTGATGAGTGATTCCAGTACTGAATTCCAACCGCAGTGACAGAGAAAAGCAGCTACAGATTTGTGAGACAAGATTTCCAGCTGGGGTGCCCATTTTTCCACGACCAATCCTTTCTTTTCTTCTCTTACCCTCTGAACAAACCCTTCTGGCAGCCAATCTTCAGCTATGAATTCCATGCTTGGGTCGAATCCAATTGGAGGCCTAATTACCCATATGAAATTAGTATCCCCAGAATCCAATGCTTTTGCCAATTGCATCATCTGGGATGCAGAAATTGTAGTTTGGGAACCAAAGGAAATGTACAAAACAGAGTCTGGCGATTTTGAATCAAGCCACTCAAGACATTCTTGTGGAGTAATTCCTGATGTTTTACTCAATTTGGCTCTTTCATCAACTGGCAATAATATTGGTCCAATTGCCCAAACAGGTATCCCTAATTTCCTCCTAAAATATGTTAATCCAATCCTATCTAATTCTTCAACTGTGTTAAACAGAAACCCATCTGAATTCACCCAAGTGGGAAGGCATTTTCTTTGAAAAATTGAAGAAGGATCAGTACCATCAGCTAAAAGCAAACTCGGGGAAAGCTGAGTAACATGGAATTTCCCAGCTTCAGGAAAATCAGGCAGCAAGAACTCACCTTTCTCATCGTTCGTGTTTCTGTGAGGCAAATTAAGCCACAAGGAGTGATAACAAGCCAAACCAAACCCTCCAGCCCCACTGAACAGAGCATGGAAAATCCCGAAATCATGAGCTACATCAGCTAACCAACCAAAAAAGAAATCCCCAATTATACAAACCGGCTTCTTCCTTTGACCATTGATAAGTTCCTCAGCAAGAATTTTCCTGAACGAAGGCTCAAGATCTTGGGCGGCTTCAAGAAGGCGAAGAACAAGGTTGTAAGGAAGATCATCGTTGTTTTCAGCATCCGGTGGGAGGCCGTAATCGGAGCTGTTGAAGGGGATTTCAACGAGGCGAATGGAGGAGTTTGGTGGGATTAAGGAATGGAGTTTCTTGATGTTGAGAGGCGTGCTTACGTAGTTTATGAGGTAACCCTTCTGTTCAATTCGGAGAGCTAAAGCTAGAAAGGGTATGATATGGCCTTGCGCCATGAAAGGGAAGATGACTATGCTCTGTTTTTCTTCACTCTCCATCTTTTCTTCTTCTCTGTTCTTTTGTTGCAGTGATTGAATGATGAATTGATGATGATGAAGAAAGGAAGAGTACTAATGAAATGGATAAAAAGTCAGCCAGGTTGGGACATTTTTGTCATTTACTATATGTCAGAGAACCAACTTACATATATACTAGATTTTAATAATAAATGTAACATGTTTGCATGTACTATATTTTATTGTGTGGCTCTTTCTATATGCAAATGTCAAATGTATCTCAAAATTTTCATTTTTGGGGTATCAATTAAAAGAACGAATAATTGTCCAAATAATTGAGTTTCATGAGTTTTATACTTTTATTTAGCAGTGAAGAACTCGAATCTTATCTCTGTTAACTTGGTGCGGTTATGTTAGACATGATAATAAAATTAGACTACTGTTATTATAAATTTTAAAACTCAATCTCACGTAAATGATAAGATTATTTATACTTGATTAATCCTTTTCGGTTTGAAGGAGATGACTATCATTTTTTGATTTGATACGGAAAAAATTTCGTTTACTATCCTGGTCCAAAATAACCGTGCACATTCAAATCTTAATGTGGATTATTATTTTTAGGACAAATGGTGCATTTATATTTTTTTAAAAAATATGGGGGATGTATGATGCTAAAGTGATGATTACTGGAGAATCAATATGATGATCTCAATGAGTCAGCATCACATTATTTAAAATTGAATGATTAAACTATATTGGCGACATTATTGGTGAGTTGGTCACAATCTGCAAGATCTAGTTTTATCATTTTACTTCCATTCAACCTATAATTAAGGTATTTGCAAGTTGCAATTTCATTGTGGAATTGGTTGCATATCAATCATAAACGCTTATCAATATAGTTAGTACTTAGTACTTGGAATTCCCTGTTACTTTAAAATGAATCCAAACTATACATTTATTTTGGAACAAAACGTTGTATAGTTATTAGACAACTCACGAAGGAATATTGTAATAGTATGATATGTAAATTACCAAATTATTCTTAACCTTATATTTGTCCAAGAAAAGGCTTAACCTATTCTATTAATTAAATCACTAATGTTATACTGGAACCTTTTCTCCAATTGATACTGATGAATAGAAAACGACAATTATTTTGATTTTTTATGTTTACTATTTATTTCAAAATGGAAAGTATGTTTGAGTCGGTGTTGGTTGGATATTTGAGGATTGAAACCAAAACTCACCGTAGTAGTTGTTTATTTAAAAAAATATCCTCAGTTCTTTAAATCATATATATATATATATATATATATATATATATTTTTGATGAGTAGTAACTAGTAATTATATATCTACGGTACGATTGTATAACCTGGATAATGAATCAGTTTGTGATTTACGTAGGGAAAATGCTAAATTAGGTAATCAGATTACTTGTTAAATTAAACAGATTATTTTGTCGGAAGGAAGGGAGCTATTTTAAGCTGACTAGTTTACAAAGTCTGATCGAGTGAACTTTTTTTGGGATAAAGTTTTTGCGGAATTTATCTATCCAGGTACGGACTTTATTAGAAACTTCTAAGGGACAAACTTTGTACCTGCACAATTTATTGGTATCCTCAATATGTTCTTGCAATAAACAAGTTAAAATTTGCCTACCAAAAGATTCAAAGAATAATCCAGAAACATAAAAATGTTCATGTATTATGCTTGCAGCAACCAAAGGACAAAATGAAAATTCACAGTACTCCTTCCTCTGTCTCATAATTATTGTCCAATTTGAGTTTTCATTTTTAATTTAAATTGTACTAAAAATGAAATTTCAAACTGGACAATAATTTAGGGACGAATGAAGTACTATTTTAATTAGTTTTAATTATACTTTAAATAACCTTACTTATAAATGTGAAAAAAAAAACCTTTTACATACTTCGGATGAGAAAAATCCTTACATACCTCGGATGAAATTCGATGCATGAATATTCATGTAGAATTTTCCTACTAGACTAAAGCCTAATTCCCAGTTTTAAATTCTACTTTATATAAGCAGGTTTGGAAAGATATATTAGTTTCTAGGGAAAGTAAAAATAGAAATACCTCAAAAAAAAAAAAAAAAACAAGACAATTGAAAGGCAACGAGAAAATTTTAACACAGCGGAAAAGGTCAATGGCCCAAAATTTCTTCAATTAAGCGCTGTGTGTTTTCCTAAACGTATCTCCCACTTAATTATTATCATTACTAGTATGTGTCTCGCGCTTTGCGCGGGTTTGTCGATGTTGAAAATTTATCTTCTAAAAGAATTAATTAGATAATATAGTTATTAATATTTTTTAAAGCCGTAAAATTTTTTTGATTAATCAATTTTAGATCAAAATGAGAGGTATTGATATTATTTATGAGATGTATATTTGTAAGATCTGGCCAAAAATATTACAACAAAAATTTTAAAAAGTTGTATACTAAAAATTGTCACCACTAACTAATGTTATGTTTGGATTAAAAAATATATTAAAAAATGCGTAAGTTATGTCTAGATGCCTATGGCTTATTTATAGGCAATGGGACTTTGGGGATTAGACACAATTAATCGTCCTTGAAAATGTAATCGATAAAATTGAAGACAAAGTAGCATATAAATAGAACTTTAAGGGCTAAAATGATAATATAAAGTTAAAAGAGATGCTTAATGGTCTCAATTAGCGATACGTGTCGATTATCTTTCTTTTCTTTAATATATATAATGATTATTTTTTTTCCAAATTTTCAAAACTTTGTCCAGTTACTATAAGAATCGATTAATATAACGTCGTTTTCCACAATCCGTTATAGTAACTCACTGCAGACCAGAAAGCATACTTGGTCCCCTAAATCTAGTTGTCATCTTTTTAAGAGTAGTTTTAAAATTTTAAAATTAATCGTGTCCTTGTTTCTGTAACCTGTTTTGTGAGCCTTAGCATTTTGACTCAAATATTGAGTAAATATATATATATATATATATATATATATATATATGTAGCCTACACATTTAATTAACATTCTGTTGGGAGGAATAAATCCACCAACAAGTATACGTATTTGATTAATTGATTGATATAATAAAAGTTATTAGATCAGTTAAATTATAATCGATTCATAGACCAGTTTAACTAGCTACGAAGACCAGGCTCGAAGCTTGACACAATCAATAATGTTTATTAAAATTAATGCTTGTTGAAAAACTTTTAATTTCAAGAAGAAAAAATCTACTTGACTCGTTTTTGGATTTAGCCAAAATAATCTATTCGGACACGGCATGTATTATGAAACACGAGAAACAAAAACCCCGAACTTGGTCTAATGATGAAAAGTTAATCATCTTTGATGCAAACTGTGTACAACAAATAGTGGGCAAAAGCAATACAAAACACACAATGTATATGTAACATAAACCGTTGGTAAATGAGTCATTTCTTCTCAGTGTATCATTTCCTCTTCTATTCCCCTCCTCCCACCCCCTCTTTTTAATGAATTATGTAAGGAAGTTGATTAAACGGCATCAAGACAATTAAAGGATAAATTTGTATGAATGGAGTGATAGATTTCATATTCTTCCTTAACTATTATGGATGGAGTGACAAGTTCAGTGAACTCTTTAATTTGTTTTCAAGACAATGTTAAAAATATTCTTATTTTGATTTTCATTTCGTATTCCACCTATACTTATCACCTCGTTATTTATCAGGACGTAAAATTGAAACTGTACAATTTTATCACCGGCCATTTAGATGATCATGCGGGTTGCAGAGAAAGGAACAAAATTCCCTCCGTTCTAAAAAAATAATCCAGTTTGAATGTCGTAATTCATACTAAAAAATTTGCAAACTCAATGTGAACTATTATTTTTTAGTACAGACAAAGAGTATTTACTTTCACGATTATGAATAAGTTGCATACTCCAAACAAGCACAATGAACTTACCAATTAAAGGTAGAGCTAACTCTCTCCGATCTCTCTTTTTAAGGTTTATTATGATGCTGTATTGTTGGTGGAGTATTCTCTGATTTGATTAATGTTTTTTTAAAAAAAGAAGTAATAGATAGTACTTAAAACTTACCCTAAAAAGATGAATTGTCATTACCATTTTCCGAGCGATCATAGGCAATCCGGAGGCAACAAGGCATGCAGGAAGATATTACTAGCAAAAGAGGTCCTAGTGAAAAATTTACAATGATTCTATTTGCAAATAAAAGGTAAAAAACCTTGTTTTGCTTATTTATTTTTGTTGGGATACTGCCTTCAAATTGATTAAAAAAAATGGATATTTAAGATGGAATCCAAATCTTCGCGAACAACAAACTCTTGAATATTGGATGAAAAGATTAGATAAATGTGACAAATATATATTCAGATTATACAATCGATGGGAAGTACTTTCGATATATAGTACAAGATACAAGTAACAGCGCTCCAATCTTTTTTGTTGCAGAAAAGATAATTCTCAATTTTTAGTGCAACTATTTTCATTAATGACCATCTTATATTGGTCAAGGTAAAGATAATCATTTCTGATTTTTTCATTAGTTAATCAACTCATCACTCTGGCATGCTGAATTATTTATTGTTGCGGTGAAAAGGGTATAAACACAATAAACTAGCGGAACCGGACCCCAAGAAAATATCCTTTCCTACTATCAATAAAATAGGACAACCAAGCAAGCAAACAATCAAAGAACTGATAAAGTAAAGTAGACACACAGATTTATGTGGAAAACCCAAATCGAAAAAAACCACAGGACTGTAATCCTCATTATCAAGTTTGCCAACGGAAATAAGGTTCAGACACATATCCAGAACATGTCTGACATTCTTCAAGACAAGTGTAGAACCTGTATTCGTTACCAATGATACCTCTCCCATGCCGACAACATCGCATGAGGCTTGGTTGTGCATTCTTACACAACCAAAATCTCCAGGTGTGTCAGAGCTGAAGAAGTATTTGTGAGGTGTCACATGATAAGACGCACCCGAATCACCGAGCCAGTCATTGCCGTGACTCGCAACATTAATTATATCATCATCACAGTATACAAATACATCACTGGTAGTTACTACTGCGGTAGTATCATCATCACTTGATTCATCTTTCTTGCATTTACCTTTTTTCGCTGCTAATTCTCTCTTGAGAACCCTGCACTCCTTCTTAAAGTGCTCATTCCCTTGATAATGGTAGCGCACGACATCTTTCTTGGATTTAGACCGTCCTCTGGACTTGTCA